CCGCCACCCCCGCTCCCCCGCACCCGCCGCTTTCGAAACGAGCCGTGAAGGAGTTGGGACGAAAGGACACGAGGGTACACGGCCGCACGCGCGGCGATGGAATGCGGTTCATGGAGGAACAACAACAACCGTCGTCCGGTGGCGGCGCCGCTCTCCACCACCGTCTTGGTCTGTTAGCGATGATGGACAAGGACTCCCTCATCTCATCGCTCGCCACCCGGGAGGCAGTGGATCAAGGACGCCGCGACATACCGACCCCGCCGCAGCCGGATCCGAGTCATGGAGGACGTGGAAGCGGGGGCGCGTGGGAGCTGGGGGGCCCGTGGATTCCGNGGATGATGCAGTCGGTCGAGAATTTTTCGGTTTGTTGGATGCAGGAACTATAAGTCCGGTGTAGCAACCAGTAGAGAACGCGATCAATGCCAAGTGGGTCTTCAGCTGTAAGGCAGACGAGTACGGATGGCCGACGAACTTCAAGGCAAGACTTGTAGCGCGGGGGGACATGCAGAGGGCTTCGATTGATGTTGGAGAATTGTTTACACCCACCGTATCAGTGTCCAGTGTGCACTTGTTGGCAGCAATAGCATGTGAGCAGAATCTTGACTTGTGCCATTTCGATATTCAGCAGGCTATTGTGCAGTCTGAGCTTGATGAGGATGAGGATGTTTTCATGCGTCTCCCGCAAGGTTGTGGTAGAACAACATATTCGCCTGATTGAGAGCGAAGTATCTGATTGAGAGCGAGAGCCAAAAAAATTGAAATTTCGGGTCCAGACGCCTCTTGCCATTTCTTGGCAAGTAGGGGACGGGCTATTCCAAGAAGCGGTGCAAATTGAAGGTCTCATCAGCAGCTTCGCGAGCATATGCGTGTCATCGTCATCGGATGCTGCAGCGAGGAGCTAGACAAGTTGCTAGATTTGCCCAGATTGGCTATTTCTGCTCAAACTGTTTCAGGGCGGTATCGCGTCGGGCGGTGGGCTCTGCTGTAGCTTCTGCTCCCCGCTGTAGCTCCACAACGAGAGACTCCCACAGGATGACCAGGGTAGCGGCTTGAAGCTACGGGCTAGCCCTTCAATTCAAGCTACACAGCAAGCTCCACCTCTCAGTGGTAGTCCGGCTACAGCGTATCGCGCAATCTCGCTCTCAATCAGATGCTACGCTCTCAATCAGGCGAATATGTTGTTGTAGGTAATCTGGACTGACCGTGAAGCTGTGCAAAAGTCTGTCTGGTTTAAAGCAGGCATCACGACATTGGCATGCGCCCCTGACGAGGTGTTTGTTACTTTTAGGTTTTTGCAGTGTCTGGCGGATGCATGTGTTGTTCGATTGATGGAGGAGGGACGTGTGATCATGATCATCGTGGTCCATGGGGATTACATTTTTTTTGCTGTAGGGCAGAAGGAGAGGTGTGACAAGTTTGGCAGGGATCTCAACGAGATGGTCCCCGTGAAGAACCTTGGAGAGTTGAGGTGGTACTCCGCGTGCTTTTACGAGAGAGACGTAGAGAGAGGGCTGCTGA